CGCCTTTACGGGGATGCAGTTTTCTCACACAGCTACACAATATTAATAAAAATGTGTGTACACAGGAAGTTGAGCAAAGAAATCCACCAGGCACAGAGTGTTGACAGGGAACGAGGGGGCAGGTGAGGAGTGCTGCCGACCACAAAAGTGGGAAGAGGGTCAAATAAAGAGTTTGAAAGGATTAAACCCTGACTTATACACTTCACACAGCACAGTGATATGCCTCAAACTGAAAATAATTTCTAGATCCCACAATGCAGTTTGTCCTCAGTGACTTTAGAAAGTTCAGCAAGAAGACTAACACCACCCTCAAATCTATATAGGTAACTATGAGACTGCCACCAGCAGCCAGTTAGCTTAGCATAAAGGCTGCATGGAGACAGGGGGAGACAGCTAGCCTGGCTCTGTGTGAAGGAAACTAAGTCTGACTGCCAACACCACTACATCTAATGAACAAAAACTGAAGTAGCCCCAAAAATGAGCCCTGGAACACTACAAATTGGCATTTTTGCACTTCGGTTTAAAGTGTAAGTTACTGGCCTGCTAGGCAGATTTTGTTGGCTTTGGACAGCGGCAGGGTAAGTATTTCTGCCAGCTTCCAATCTTTATGCTAAGATAAGCTAATCAGTTAGTAGCATAGACTGTGTATAAAAATGGCCGTGAATGTTAACCAAAAGTGAAGCCAAAGCATCTATATCACCATGTGGTGGCTGGCTGCAGTATAGGTAATAAATCCCACCTCATTCATGTTATTGGTTGGGAACCATGACCCAAAAATGGTTAGGCTACTTGCATTGAGGTAGTTTTTTATTCATTTTATGTATTTATTTAAGTGTTCAGTTCTCTGGTAACCTCATGATTGACAGCTTAGAGTGACTCACAATCAGTCAAGTGCATATGGATGGGAACTTGTCATTCCTGATCACTACCGCGCAGACTCCAAATGTGCAAGATGGAGGATGTTCATATCCGGGATATTTTGGCTATATGTGCTCGTATCCAGGAGGAAGTGGATATTTGTCGTCCATCTTCATGAATAGCACCAATTCTCCTGCAATGCTTCTCATATAATAAGCTCGATTATATGAGAAGTTCCACTACAGTTCAGGTGTCAGCTGCATAGAAAAATATAAAGAAACTGCACCAATGCAAGACAAGAAATACCTGGAAAATGCACATGTTGCCATTTGCAGTTAAAAGTTGTGAGCATCATTGGAAGTGAAATGAAAAGTTTCGAACATGCAAAAATTCGGAAATTAGTTAAAAGTAATTCGGTAATTATTTTTTTTAATATTTAATATATGTACATCTCCATCTATTAGTTCTGCATGGGAACCCTCAATCTTATTACTGTGGGCCCCGGGGAACTTTTTTCATCACGGGAAACTAATGGAGGACAGGGATGTGAGTAATCAGAGCAGAATGGGCAAGAACGGATGACCACAAGTGGCTGGTGCTCGTCGCGGGAATCTGTATGCAGAGGTTAGGCAGGGATAGGAAAACCACACTGGAAAACTGACTTGAGAATGGCATCTGGTTCCCATATCCACAGTGTATCACAATTAGCCAGCACAAAATGACTTTAATGTGTGTGTGTATGTGTTTGTGAGTGTGTCTGCTTGTTGTTATGTGTTTAATGTTCTTGTGGGAGCAGGGACGCTGTGAGCTGGGGAAATTGAAACTGATGGTGTAATTGGTTATAGGTGTGTGATCTAAGTACAGCGACAAGACACTTATCAAACATGGAGGAGATTCATAATGCACAATTCTCAGAGAGAGAAGGTCTCATGATGCCTGAGAAGGGGTGACATTTAAACAGCTTAGGTGAAAAATGCCAAATATTAAAGCCAATTTTTGTGTGTGCAATACATAAGCAAATTTCGGACCCACAAAATTCTTGTCATGGATATAAAATGATGAATAAGGGACAATGTTCCAGTTGGAAAAGTATTTCTTTCACTTCTTCTGTTGATTCAATTAGAACCGCATTCTGGCCGCTGTTCTCCTTCTCATCATTTGATGTTACGAGTTGGAGGAAAATTCCTCTCAATCAAAGAGATGTTGAGTTTTCACTTAAACTGCAAGCATCACATTCATAAGCTGTTATTTCTCCCACCGCTCTAAGGTAATGACGGTCAGTTTTCCCTGCGAGTGTTCAGCCTGCTCAGCCAACCAAAGTGCTTTGTACGGACCGCTTCAAATCACTGAGAGTGAACCTCACGTTTGGCCCAAGCGCTGCCTCTCATCATTTGCTGACAGACAAGCGCTGCTGATGGGCACAGCGTGAGCCGAGGACTGACATCTAAAAAGGTCAAACTCTTACTGTTGTCACATCCAGTGCCAGCAGGCCTCCTCAGGCAGTGCTGCCCTTACGAGCCCAAATAATAGCTGTCATGTCAGATAGATCCACATGCAGCTCTCAGTGTAGCCTCTTCACCATGCATGCGTTTGTGTACTTGTACCCTCTGTGCAGATTTGAAACTGTTAACGGCCTTTCTGATTTTAACTAACAACAGACTACCTTGCAAATAAGTGTTAACCAGCATTTCAGAGCATATCTCCATGTCTTTATCTCTAACTCGACTAGTCTCACTCATAAAATGGCACATTCTCCTGCTCTGGAGGGCAAGAGTGATCAGATGGAATATGTTTTATTAACAGGTGTGGAGCTGCAGTGCACAGCAGATGAAGGGTGGAGGGTGCCTGGGCTCCTATATGCTTCACCTCCACATTGCCTCTAATCCCTATACTGCAGCTGCATAATTCATGCATCGTGACAGATCATCCTCAACTTGGGTCATGGAATCTCAGCTGATGAAGACGGAAGGTGGAAGCTGCATCTTAAAATACAGATATCTTCTCATTAGGAATGTGAGTGAACTCTCGGAAGGGCTTGTGCTTAGCCATAGCTGGCCTGGCTTGTGACTCCAGTGTGGTGCAGAGGCATGCTTAGCGGGCTGAAGTGGGTTTGATATTTTCTACACTATCATTTTCAAATATTTCCCCTTTCTTTCTGACCAGCTTTCAAAGTACGTTAGTTTCTTACCCTGTCCGCATCTTTTTAATCTAGGATGGCATACAGTCTGCGCAAGGAGCAGGGTCAGCGGGTGACGTTGGTGGGTACTCGAGTGCGGCCTCAGGGATGGTGTTTTATGCTTGATTAGAGCTAAATGGCGTGCACACACATTGCTTCATGTTTTGACACGGACCACCCTCCAGAGAGATGAGAAAAGTAGATAGCTAATCATTTTTGGGCCAACTGTCATTTCCAAGACCTTACTAACCTTTATGCACGGTAACAAAAATACGAATTTATATGGTTTCAGTGGCGAGATGCGGCAACCGCCTCAGCCTATGTCTGCAACATGTCTCCACTAATATTTTTCCAATCTGTCTGGAGAACAAGAAGCGATATCCAACCAATCGAGTTGACAACCGACACGGCGATCCCAATGCAAAACTGACACAAAAAACTCAAGCGGTGGAAAAGAAGGGAAATCCAAACAAAGCAAATCACTTTTCCATGTCTAAATGCTGATCACGGACCGCCAATGAGGATCTTTTCCTACTGAGTTGTGATTGAAGAGACCTATTCTCTTTCTGTCTCTGCAACCACAGGTCCCTGTCCGTTCATCAGCGGCTGAGTAACGATTAAGTCACCGAGATCTGTAATGACTTCAGCAGTGGTTGCTTTGCTTGGCTCAAAGGGCTATGTACAATTTACGCAGTGTTCCCAGAGTTATAGAGGTTGACAACAAGAGAGCTGTTGAATATTCATAGTGACGTGTCCCCTGCCATCCCCCGGGTGGGTATTCTAAATGAGAAACCACATGAGATCACTTACTACTGTCTTTAAGAAACTGGCACCGACTTTTTTTATATTTCGGAAACAGATGCGGTGACCATTGGGTGAGTCATTGTCAGATAGTTGGGTTTTTTGAATAAGAAATGCATTCCCTCACCCAGACTTTTTTTTTTCTCTGGATTGTAAATTATAGCCTTCTTTGGTTAAGTGCAGTATGGGAATTGTTTTGCCTATCAAACATTTACGGTTCTTCCTGCTACCTATAATGACTTAGGAGAGTGAGTTGTCATCGGGAGCCAAAGGAGATGTCCCAAAAGTACAGAAACACAGGGATTCTGTGCATTTATTGGCAAAGCCAAACTCTCCTGATGTATGAACATTTCAGACACAACACATTTTGGATTTCACTTGGCTCCTGAGACAACTCGCTGTATGGTTTTATTTGTCAGATGTGAAGCCTGGTGAAAGAGAGGCTCAGAAGTGAGACCACCTGCACTCACTTACGTCCCAGAACCCCAGGAGCGAGTGTCTGAGAAGGCTCCAAGGATTAACTTACGACTTTTACAGCTCAGTCGACACACGCATTTATACCTATTCAATCACACTTGCCCCTGGACTATAAATAATTTTAACAGAGCGCACACACACACGCACACACACACAGGACCCGCTTGACCCAGTTATGCAGCAAACTGTCACAGTCCCTGGTGCTGTATGTATTCATGTATGCGTTTGTCTTCATCTTCGGAGAAACTCTGAAGTTTTTCCATCTGGTCGGGGGAGTGAATCTGTGATCACCCAGCAGTATAATGAGGTGAGATAATCTGTTCAGGTTCAGGGAGCAGGAGGGGTTGAGGCCGGTAGCTTGGATATTACAAATCAGACTGGCCAGTGTTCATGCACGTGCACTCCCTGCTTCCACCATAGATTGAATGAATTCTGAGGGAAATGCTGCAGAGAAAGTGAAACAAAATGCCTAGATTTGTACCGAAGTGTAATGGGTTCCTTACCAAAACTTCCCAAATGTCAAACTTCTCCATTAAAGCCGTTTTAAAGACCATTCTTTGACATTAATGCTAGTGGATGTGTGCAACTTGTTGCGGCATCCTGCCGACAAGTTTTACTGTTGCTGGGTTGCTTTTACCTTCACATGGCTATCACATTTTGGAGGAAGATGTGAAGCAGGCATACTTACAGGAGGTCCTGAAAGAGAAAGAGGGGAAAAAATATACACGGTTAGTGTGTTTTCAATCAGTGATCAAACAGACTCAGATCATCAATGTTCCAGTGAAACCACATATCCAAGTATTTAAGATGGGAGGCTTTTGTTTTGAATTATTTCCTTGGGAAGGAACATTTCACAGAGATATATCTCTTCCATGATGTATTCCCTGACAATGCCAAATGGACAGGCATTGTATTTCATGAAGCCACTATATTTGGTATAAAACAAAAGCATTGTAACAAAAAGATTCCAATCAACTCTGCATGTATTCAGGCCACCAGGCCTGACAATCGCATTTTACATTTATAAGTGGCTCTAATTTCACTCTTACAAGGGGGTTGTGCGCTTGTTAAAAACTAGCCCCGCATTTTTCTGAGGTGACACTTTCCCTCAAAGGACTGTCGGCCAAATTACTTCAGAGTTCCCCAAACCCCCTGCAAATCATTTCAGGTCTTTTTGGTTGTTATTAGAAAAAGTGGACCAGCTGCTTTAACCCTGAAAAAAAGTTCTTTTTTTCTTTCCAGCTCCTATGTCCTTGAACCGTTCTTCCTCACGACCAAGGAAATGTGCAAATTGCTCCTGCAACTGAGGCATTTCAGGAACCATATTGGAGGCTGCACTTTTGCAGTGTTGTTTTATGGATCGCTGAGTTACAGCGGACCACGTAGCTTTTAATAAACCTGCTCCACCGTGTGTGTGTTTTACATGTCCCACTCTGTCTAACGGCTCTGTGCAAATGTTCAACCAACAATAACGGTGAATCAAAAAAACTATAATTTGATAAATATGTACAATATCAATGTACATTTAATAGGTACCATAAAGGTTTTCAGGGGACTACAAATGTTTCATGGTATATAATCCATGTAAAAATAAATAGTGGATGACATGTTCTTAAAAATCCATTCAGGCTGAGTGAGTTTCACTTTCTCTTCTAACGTTGCCATGATCAGTCATCTCCTCCACAATTTTTCCGCCTGCTGCTCCAAGTGTAAAGGTTACCAGTGGTATTGTGCTGCACGGAGCATGCGATCGCTCACACCATGGTGAGAGCCGTTGTAACGCTCTTAGATGACACAGAGGTTCATGCAGCTGCGATGGGGCCCAGAATGACATTTTTCCAGAAATCTATTGAGAAGAAAAGCTGCTTCTCTTCATACCTGAAATTGATGTGCGGCAGTAAAAGCAAATTGCTCGAGCTGTTCAATTTGAGCATCACATCCCCCTTTTGTGAGTGCAGGTACACTGATGACAAGACGTGGTTCTTCAAATAGGGAAAATATGTTGGTAACGTCTGCCTCTTCCCAGCATTGACCACCTGATAGGGCAGTTTGAGACTGTGGCTTTTGCTGCTCCAAAAACATTTCAGCCCGAGCTCTCATGCCACAATTTTCCTTTCCGTATGTCCCCAGTAAACACACCAGAGATTCTAATGAAGTATCCCATTCACTTTGAATGGATAGGTAAATATCACCGAGCCTTTTTCCTACTTGATCTCTCTGTCAGTTAAAGCCAAGTCTTAACGAAAGCTTCCCTCTGTCGTTGTAGATAGAGTAAACTCTACCCCCCCACCCCGACACACACACACACACACACACACACACACACACACACCAATATGAATATGTGGGAACTTTGCAGCAGCTTAGTTACTTTCGGTCAAAACGAGTCATGAATTAAATATGTTTCCCTTCAACAACCACCAGTGTTGAGAAAAGAGGGAAATTGGATTTGCAGAAGGCTTAAAGTACAGAATGCAGCACGCCTGTGCTTGTCAAAGAGTGAATTTTTCTGTTGTATAATGTGTCCTAAATGTTTTTTTTCTTCTCCTGGAGAGTTTCACGCAGAATATTGCTCCACTTTATGTTTGCCGATATATCCAAACAGTAAACGTAGCAGAAATAAGTGAGTTAAAACTTCATGCAAACATGCACAATCACTTTTAGAGCCTTCAAAGTGCCAACATTTTGAGTTACACTGCATAAAGCATTGCTTTTGTACGCTATCTAAATGCTTTAGCAGAAGCTGCACGAAACCAGTGAACATGCAGATAAAAAGCTGCTTAACTTCATGACATTAATATAAAACAGTCTCTCTAAACAAGCGCTATTTCTGGTCGACAAACCTGAGCCAAATCTGTCTGATATTGACAACGGCCTCGTTCAGCGCTGTAATTTGGGCTATTAAACAGAATGCTGAGGCTTGTCAACCCAATTGTTTCCTATTGTCTGCCCTTGATAGACACTGTGCCTCTGCAGTCCAGACATTGTGAGTGGCTATGATTGTTTGCTCGTTTCCGATTGATTTGTCAGGAGGAAGCCATTCACATTCTCTGCATTTGCTTTGGCCGACCAGAGAATGAGCAAACTGTCTTCGCACAATGGTGCCATTTGAAAACACGCTGGCGCGGTGGAAGTTTATTGGAAAGTTGAGCGCTGCATAAACAAAGCCTGGCGGTGTTTCAGATGCGCAGCCGACCAGAACATTGAACTGTTGTCTTTTCTGTCATTTGATTTCTAATTCTTTCCTCTTCCCCAGTTTTCAAGTTACACACTGGATCTGTTTGGTGCTGCAGCATGTGAGAGAGAGAGGGGGGAGCCACGGCACTCTGAATGTGTTCTCAGACGGTATCCTTACTTAATTTGGATGAATCAAAATTGGAGGAAATGAGAATAGTTGATTCTCAAATAGCACAACCTCAACTGATTTAAAAAAGCAGAGGCTGCATCTTAAAAACCAACAGTTATTTTGACCCCCTTACAGACACATTGCTTGTTTCTTGGGCTGTGAAACCAAACTGCTCCCGTGGCCTGTCCCCCTGATTTCTTTCAATGAGTGCAGAGCTTTTGTTCCACAGCGTTGGCTGCGCTCTGCTGCACTGCACAGGAATGCCACCGCACTCCAGAGCGCCATCAACACTCTCCCTATCAGGTGAGCAGCCACATCTCCCTGCCGAGTACACGTTCTCGCTGTGAATTCAATTTGCAGCGACACTTTCCGTCTGTGAGAGTGTCGCTGCACAGCACGTCCTTTTCCTAGATACTCCTGACTCCCGCTGGGCCAAGTTTGTTGAGTCAGCTCAGGAGAGCGTGTGGGCGGAGGGAGGGGAGGACGGAAATCCTAAGTGCATTGAGGACACTTGTTGCCAAATTTATGAAAACCAACAAACGGCAATTGTATGTCACGAACATAACATAACATCATGTCTGGGATCGGCACCGGAGGGTTGGAGTGTCTCAACGTTTCGACAAGGCCTCATCACCTTCGACGAGTTTGGGCATCTCTTTGACTTTCTCAAACTTTCACTGTCTCTTGGTTTTCCTGTGAACATCTAGTGTTTCTATGGTGACAAAAGCTGAAACAATCCGAGTGAACAGCGAAACCACAGGAGCCACAAATTACACATCTATAACCTATTTTGGCCTCCAAAGATATACAGTGTACTTTTACATGATCGTAAGCGCAGCATGAATTGCTGTTGTCCTACTGAATTATTCCTTAAACGTTTTTTGTCTTTGACCACACATACACACACACACGTACATACCAGGTTCTCCATCGCGGCCTCTTCTTCCTCGCTTTCCCGGAGGTCCTGCAAAAAAGGAAGATTATAAATTTTAGTCAGTTATTTGATTGTCTGTTTGTTTGTGTAAGTTTCATATTCTACGAGCATTCTCTCATTTAAACCACCGAACAGCAGGAGGAGGAAGAGCCGCTGTGAAATATTGTATTTGGAATACTAACACTTCCAAATTTCAAGGTTCAATAAGTATTTCGACTCCAGCGGAGTTAAAAAAAAAGAAACACACACAAAAGGGTGTTTTTCTTTTCTCAGTTTTTGCTTTCAGCACGGATGCTCCACTTTTTTAATTTGTTTATCAAGACGTGTTTTCCTGTTTGCCATTTTCCTCAATCTGCTGAACCTCAGCTGAAGGAGCAAAGTAATTACATGCTTTGTCAGGTTTTACATGTAGACCACTTGACTGGGTTGTTGTTGTTGTTTACAGGTGGACTACCTCATATAAAAAATAAATAAATAAATTCAAACATTGGAAATTGGGAGCATCTCTTCCAGAATGACCTCCTCCTCCTCCTTCTCCTCCTTCTCTCTGCAACCCATGCAGCCCTCTCCTGAGGTTGGCAGCAGGAAACACATTTTCAGTCTCTGGCATTTTGTTTGCTCTCGGCTCTTAATAAAACCAGGCGAATTCACAATTTATCCGAAAGGGTGAGGCTATGACTTTTAGTCGAGCTGAAAATTAAAAGCCGGGTTCTTGTAATACGGTTCACAGTGGTGCACGAGCATGCTCCACCTCTGAGGAGGGCTTGTCAACTTGCAATGGAATGGGTAATATCTGAAAAGGAAAATTGCACTTTCCTCCGACATTAAAGCAGCTGTCAGGATCAAAGAGATTGGAAGTCAATGCAACTGAGAGGAACAAACTTTCCCATCTGGTTGTGCATTACAGAAAATAACCAGATCCAATTTCAGGCAGCAACAACACTGTGAAGAGTTATTATGCAAATCATTTTCAAACTTCTTTTGACCCCCACACTGGCAAAGAATGGCTTTTTGTCATCATGTTAGAGTGTTCAAGATAATTAGAGTCATGTAATGGGATTTGAGAAAGTTTTTGAATAGACCAGACAGCTCAACATTAATTGCCTGGGTGTCAAAAGTTGCTCCGAGGAAACGACTTTGTGACACTGAACTGCAGCTAAAAAACAGGAGTCAAAATATAAAACAATCAGATGAATTGCTCGTCCAAACCACTTGACCTTATGTCCAACCACAGCTTGTATATAGAAACATCCCTAAAGGGGGTACAATAGAATAATAGAACTGAAAAATAATGAAATATCTGATAACACACAAATTATTTCAGTTTTTCAAATTAAAAATGATCAATTGTGTTCCTGTTAATTGCACTTCAACAAACTCAATTAAATCTTTTCTAAAGTTGGTGAACAATTTTCTTTTTTTAACATGGGAG